CTTCTTGAGACAGAACAGGAGCACGTATCACTTTTTAAGAAAATTATTCATTTTCATTGCTTTTGGTTTGGGGATCACAACTGGCAGTTCTCAGGGCTTACTTCTGACTCTGTACTCAAGGATCACTCCTGGTGGGGCACAGGGGACCATATGCAATGCCTGGGGTTGAACCTGGTTGTTTGATAACACTGGGTTGTCCTTGCTGCTCTTGAAGGGAGTTTAAGTTTATTGAGCCATTTCCACAACAGTGCAACTGAGGCACACCCAATTCCCCCAAGCACTAATAATCCTAAATTGCTTTTCTCTTTCCTTTATGTCATTTTTATGGTTTATATAATAATGTCCTTTTTGTACAGACACAGTAAGACAATTGATGCTATGCTATGTAACATGGGAGTTAATTGACTCCAAAATGATATTTACTCCTGGGCATCCATATTTACTTGACTTAAGCCTCAGTTGCCATTAGGTTCCAGCACTAAAGAGCAAGGTCCCGACGAGAGACTGACAGACCCAGGGCAAGCTGTGAGTTACCCTGGCATCGAAATGGGCCAGGCCAAGTGCATAATACTTAACTGAAAGTAGAGCACGGTCATGAACAAACTCCATCATGACACACACAAAAAATAGGTAGCTGAATAAGGACCCTGCTGGGGTTAGGGAAGACTAACCTGGCCTGAGGACTATGGTCTCGAATATGTACCCAGGAAAAGGCAAACTTTGGGCTTAGTAATCTCTTACTGTTCTCATACAAAATGGCATTGCTAGAAATATTATAAGCAGTAAATTCACCATGACTGTGGATTACCATCTGAGGAGAAAGCAATACACCATGGATGGAATACTGCCCTTGGGCAGAACTCCTAGTAATCTAGAGTAGTCTCCTTAGATGAGATTTTGTCCATGAGAAGAAGTGACCTTTACCTCTCTTTGTTGATTTGTTAATGTTCAACCCCATTGTATTCCCACCCTACATGATTCCTATATAACTGTGCTGTAAGTGGTTACTGGGGGAGACTGAAGACTGGAGACAATGGAGTAAGACTTGAGGAGAGACTAAATACTGAAACAAAGAGAAAGAATAGAGAAGACCAGAGAGAGATTGAGACAACAAGATATTGAAGACTTGAACTAAGATTGGTTGTAAGATGTGTAGGAGAGTTGCTGACGAGAGAATTGTGGAAGATGCAGAGGATGAGACTCTGGAACTAGACCCTGGGTAGGAGATGAAAACTAGACACTGAGGAATAGATATTGAAGACAAGAAGGTTGACGTCAAGACATTGAAGACGATGGGGGGCGGGGACTGAGACTTTGGAGACTTTGAGGTCTGCGAGGAGATTTGGATGATGGAACTCTGATGACAGGGACTATGGCCCAAAAAACATAAAGGGAGAGGAGATCAGACGAAGCCAGGGAGTCCCGCTGCCTATCCTTTGCCCGTCATCCAGAAGAGCCTGGAGAGGGGGCTCTAGGCCACCAAATGCCACTGCCGTATCCTACCTGCGTGTGGGCCCACCACCACAACTTTCCTTTCCTTTTTCTTCTTTATTGTGTTATTGTGAAAACTCACACCTGGGTTGACTAGGTGCAAAGCAAATGTCCTACCTGCTTCACGACCATTCTGGACCCTGCACACAGCACTTTAAAACAACCAGATCACTCCTACAGGTCTAACATTTTCCCAGTTTATCCTGCACCAAAACTAAGGTCCTGCTGTGACTCATGGACACAGTTTATCCCTGGAACTGAATTCCTAGCCCTGATAATCTGTTTCCATACACCTGGTTATAGCAGCTTCCCTGAAGTTCCTCAAATGGGCTCACTCTGCTCCTGCCTCTGAATTTCCATTCATCCAAGTGTGTCAGATCCATCTCATAATAAAAAATCATTGATTTGACATCCCATCTCTTCAGAAAAGACTTTAATGACAAACCAATTAAAAGGCAGGTTCCCTGCTCCTGCTGTTCTTATCCAGAGCATTCTGTGTACTTCATACACTGGCTGACATTAACATTAGGCATTTGTGTAATGTTAACTGATTTACTTTTCATTTTCTCTACCAAAGTCTAGTTTCAATAGGGATAATATTTTTCATTCCCTATGTTTAACTGATGCCAAATATTTCAAAATAATATACTGACATCAATATATTAATAATATGAAAATGGAAATCCCTTTTACAATAGTGTATTTATAATATATGATTAACTACTTTAATACATCTATAACAAGATAACAAAGTGTGTATGCTTATAAATAGCCTTACTTCCCTTTCTTTTCCTTCCCTACCTTCCTTCCTTGGAGTATGATCCTTTAGTTTATGGTTTATCCTAAAAATGATTTTTTTGTTTTTAAGAACTAGCTAGAATCTGTTATAAAAGAGGAAGTCATGAAATTTACATACAAGTGGTACTACATGGAAAGTATCATGCTAAGCGAAATGAGTCAGAAAGAGAGGGATAGACATAGAAAGATTGCATTCATCTGGGGAACATAAAGTAACAACATAGGAGACTAATACCCAAGAGTGGCCGAGATCAGTACCAGGAGGGTTTATTCCATGGCTTGGAGGCCAGCCATACATGCTAGGTGAAAAGGCAGCTCTGATAGAGAAGGGAATACCAAATAAAGGGTGTTGGGAGGATCTTCCCAGGATGGGAGAAGCATGCTGAAATTAGACTATAGACCAAACATGATTGCCACTCATTGCCTCTTTTGCAAACCACAACACCCAAAAGGAGAGAGAGAACTAAAGGAAATACCCTGCCACAGAGGCAACCTGTGGTGGTAGAAAATGGGCACTGGTGGAGAGATGGCCATTTGATCATTGTATAATTGAAACCCAAGCACAAAAATTTGTAAATATACAACTGTACCTCATGGTGTTTCACTATCACTAATAAAAATTTGGAAAAAAGAACTAGCTAGAATCTCCATTATCTTTATTTGTATAAAAATTTAAATAATTTGAAATAGTATCAATGACGCTATTCATATAAAGTTAGATCATGGGATCTCAAATGATCGTCAAACCTATCAGGTTTTTAGATAATGCTGGTCCTATTTGTTTTTTCCAAAATCTAGCTTCTAAAGACAAATGGGGGGTAACCTTTAACCCAAGCAACTAAAACACAGCAGCATCCTCTAAGCAGCCAGTTATAAAATGCAGAACTGTGTGTTAATCTTCCATTCTACCAAAAATGGAGCCCATAATTGATCCCCTAGTCCAAGTTGGGCTCCGCTGCTTTTAAGGCACAAGCTCAATTCCTTCCTTTCAAAACCTCAATCATTTGGTGAAACAGTCAAGCATGCATGAGCTGGGTGATACTATTACAAGGGAAAGCAGTGCAATGTTAGAATGAGATGAGAGCTCGACTAGGAGTTGTGGATTTTTCTACTGCACGAGGCAAGTATGTTTACAATGCTTCTCTTGAATAACAAATCCCTGGCATATTTTATGGCAGACAGAAAGTATCAAACAAAGACATTTTAAGAATAGGCACACTTTAACATTTACAACTAATAAACATGTAAAACCAAGAGGTTTCAGTAATCACTTGGGCTTCATACATTCCATACCATTGTTTCTCCCCTTGCTCTGATTAAACTGGTGCTTTCTTTCTATTTGTCCACTGAAAACACAAAGCAGGCTAATGTCTTTCATATAATCCTTCTTGGAAAACATCAGAAGGGAAATCCATGGTTTACACAGTCATTTTCCCTGAACAACCCCGCTGGAGTTGGTAAGTTCCAGAAGAATATAGACTAGCTGCCCCCAGGCCAGCTCATCTATGGGGAGTTAATAGAAGTATTGAGTATTAGTCAGTGACAGTATTAGCTAGGTGACTTGCCTTGGCTTTTACCTTCATAAATTCTTTTCTTTTTCAAATTTGGTTTTTGCCTTTTGGCATGATTTTTTTCAACTTTAAAAGGTTACTTTCAAATAATCAAAGACTGCCGGCCTCAAATACACATAAAAGGAAACATCTCATTAATTTTAGAAAAGGTATTGGTGTTAAGAGAAATAATTATCGCTTCAGGTCACAATCTCACCTTTTGAAAGAAGTATTTGATATATGCTGTTTGTGTCTAAAATATTTGCTTTTCCATACTTTAATCTTGAAATTAAAGAACTACATACACAATATGCTGCAGTAACAAAACAAGAAACACTGTTGTGTATGCGGAGTTATTTTGCTCCTTTTCCAATGGGCTTTTCTAGTTTTTATTATTAATTCATTTCTTGAGATAAGTGTACTGAAGAAGCCACCTGCATGCATCTTATCAGATATGAAAATTATGCATCTTGAATATGTAGACACATATATAATTTTATATCTCTACAAAGTATACAAATGTAAAGTATCTTTCTCTCATTCAATCCCTGCTCTAAATTTATGCACTGAAGAAGATATTCAAGGAAAATAATATCTAAACATATCATATTTTAGGATGGACATTATATTGCAGAAGATCATTTTCAGGTCCCTGTGAATGAATGTGCAGTAGTTAAAATACCAACCATAAAAAAATTTTTACATGCTAGTCAAAAAATCATTTTGAATGAACCTTGCTTTAAAACATAAACATAAAAATTTTGGAGGGCTAGAGTGATAGTAAAGCAGGTAGCATACTTGTCTTGCATGCAGCTGATAGGGATTTGAATCCTGGCACCCCCATAGCTTCACAGGACTACCAGGAGTGATTCCTGAGTGTAGAGACAGGAGTAACCCCTGAGCACTGCCAAGAGTGACCCCCAAAATATTTTTGAAGGAATCCATCCTCAACAGTTCTCAATGGACCACCAAGGCAATGCCCAAATGCTGGGATGCAGCATGAGGGGTCAAGGATCCAATATAAGTCCCACACTGGGTAGGCCTGTGCTATGTCACTTTGAGCTGTCTCTCCAGCTGCAGAGATGAGATTCAGAAAAGGGGAAGGATGAAGGGAGAATTCAGAAAATAGAATTAATCCACCAGGAGGGTAGCGGTACATACCTGCTGGCACATGTGGTCCCACTGACTATTAAGCTCTTTGAGTTCCAGCTCAAGTTTAGCAGCAAACTCTGGCTCTGCATCACTCTTTATCTTCTGCCCACCTTCGTTGACACTGTTTAGACTAGGCTGGATTGTCTGAATATCACTGACAAGAAGCTAAGGAAATAATTCAAATTAAGTTAGCATTAAAAAAATGATCACAACATGTAGGAAATGCTACAGCAAAACATATGTTGGCATTACATTAAGTAACATTACACGACAATTTTTTTCCTTGATATCTGAAATTAAATATAAATATATCAATCATCCTTGAACAGAAACATGGGCCATTATTGTTGGTTTTCTTTAATAGGGGCTACTATCAGCTGTGTATAGGGTGCCAAGCAGGGTCTGGAATGGAACTGAAGGGTCTCGTACACAAAGATGCAGATCACATCTCTGAGCTTTCTGCCAACCCTGATAAGAGGATTTTCATGGCATGAAGAAAGTCAGGAATTACCTGAATTCTACTTAGACTGGATATAAAATAAGTACTTCGTGATAGAAAAAAATGTGAAAATCATGGGTTTATACATTCCCATTTTTTTAAAAAAATGGATTTCAAACAAATATATTACAATTGCTTACAGTATGAAGAGTTTTAACTAAAATTATATGATTGATTTTTAGCTTGCAATCACAAAAAAGATTCATTTTGGGGGTGGGGCCACCACGAAATGACTCAAGGGGGCGGGCAGAGACCTTACCAGCAATGTTTAGCCAACTAGTCCAGTGGTTCAATGCAAGAACCTAAGGATACAATGTTACTCAGGCCTGACCCTTAGATTCTGGGGATACCCAAGCTATCCCTGGCAGGAATGTGAGTACCCAGGACCATATCCATCAGTGCTCAGGGGCCTCCAGGCCTGCCCCTGGCAATGTTGCAGGGACCATAAAGTACCAGGAATGAACTCCCTCCAGTCAAAAGCATGTTAAGTATGCATCCTAACCACTGTACTATCTCCCAGTACCTCAAAGAAGATACTTTCTATTGCATGACATGAATTTGAGAATCATATTGAATATTATGATTATTTTGCGATAGATACTGAGAAAGGACCAAAGTATGACTAATAATCCATCATCGAGGCAACAAAGAGCTCACAAGATTTATCTTTCAATCAAACTGTTTTTAATATTAAAATGAACTTATAAAACAAAGGTTGAGACTCCAAAATGTTGTATGTGTTTCTTATCTATTTAACTCAGTTCCTCAACCTTGGCAGTTGCAGTCATGTGGACTGGGTAATGCTTTCTGGTAAGGGCTGATCTGGGTAGTGTAGAATGTTTAAAAGCTTCCTTGGCCTTGACCCATAGACGCCAGCAGCACTGGCCAAATTACAAGCCACAAAAATGTTTCCTGACATCGCTGTGTCCTGGACAGGAATGGGCAAAATGATCCCACTGGCAAACAACAGTTCCATCCAAATTATATTTTGCTCGTGACAGACTGCGTCACACAGGTATATCCATCCAAAAAAGGAAACTTACCCTGCACTGCTTCAGTTGCTTTTTAAGAATTTCTGGATCCCCAACTGCAGGCCATTCTTCCTTCAGGAAAACATCAACTTCAGCCATCCATTTCTTCAGGGTTGTTATGTGATGCTGAAATCAGAGACCAATTTGAAAGCATTATTGGGATGCTTATTTCTCTTAACACAACTCATCACAGCGGCGTATCTGAACATTAGCCCCGGAACAATGCCCGTGTTTGAAAGATTGCTCTAAGAAGCTCTTCAGGAAAAGAATATTTTTACTAAAACTGTATTTTTACAGCCATCTGTATGAGCGTTGGTGTATGAAGTCTGCTATTGTTAAAAATAAAATATTACTACCAAATGCAGTTTTATGAAGTTACTCTGGAGAACATTAAATCACATCCCCCTCTGGAGAAATTTTAAGTTACAAAATAACTCATGATAATACGAACAATGTGCCCTAACAGTACATAAAACAAACTATGAACAATAAACTCAATGTAATGGTATCTTTATAGCCTCCCTAAACCTGAACTTCCACAAATTGTTTTCCAGAGATGACAGTTTAAATAGTCTCTCCAGTTGGGAATTTTTGGGCCAATATTCTGCTATCATTAAAGACACAACTTTGGTTTTTAATTTCTTCCTTGTCTGAGGAGGCTGAAATACTGATCAGGCAAAAATTAAATGCCATGCTTAGCATTTATACATAGTCCATTACCATCCAATATTCTTCCACAGATTTCCTCTTTGTGTTGTTGTTGCTGCCTTTTATTGGGTGGGAAGCTACTTTTCCAATATATTATTTTGAAACTTATTTATCTCCATACAGTTCAACTGGGATGCCCAGATGTGGTGCTTTCTCCGTTATACATTAAATTTCTTTGGGGTGTGGGCCATATGTGGCAGTACTCAGGAGTCAGCCCTGGTTCTACACTGAGAGATCATGCCTGACAGACTGAGAAGAATCCCAGGGGTGCCAGGGATAGAACTCCAGTCAGCCACATAGAAGAAAAGTGCCCTATCCACTATAATTTTCTGCCTTCCCTTCTTACTTTAATTTCTATGGAAATCGTGCTATATAGAAAGTTTTCACTTTGGTGCTGGAGCGATAGTACAGCACGTAGGGTATTTGCCTTGCATGCGGCAGACCCGGGTTCAATTCTGAACATCCTATATGGTCCCTGGAGCACCGTCAGGAGTAATTCCTGAGTGCAGAACTAGGAATAATCCCTTAAGATTGCTGGGTGTGACCCCCCAAAAAAATCAAGAAAAAAAAAGTTTTCATTTCAGTAAGATTAGTAATAATTACATGAGGTTGTAGCAACAAATGCTATTTTGAAAAATGATTTCAAAATAATTTTAGGGCTATGGAGCTTGTACATGAGGTAGAGGTTTAGCACATTTGTAATCCATTGCCTCAAAGTCCTCAACCTCCGAGTCACTGCACCCAGGAGGGCCAGCGAGTTCCCATGCACTCTTGGGCCTGACCCCGCAGCACTGGGCCTGAGCATGAAATCATCAGTCCCACACTACTCAGTCCCAGAAATACCAGAAGTCACCCCGGGCCTCCCAGAATATGGGTGTGGTCACTGGATTATGAAATGTTTGGGGAATATGGGTTATCAAGTAGAACTGATTCAGATGATCATAAAAAGGGAGAGATAGTTTCTGTTCTAATGGAGCAGGGTAGGGAAGGAGAGATAGTAAAGGGGTTAAAGGCAATTGACTTGCAGGTTCTAACTTGGATTTGATCCTTGGCACTGCATGTGGTACAAAGACCACCACCAGGAGTGACCCCTGAGCATAAAGTCAGAAGTTAGCTCTGAACATCAACAGAAGTGGTCTAAAAGCCTTACAAAATAGAATAAGAAAAACCAGAGAATTTGGAATGTAACTCCACAAAGGGGTTTTACGTTTTAATGAGCGAAATAAAATAGTTGTTGTTTATTCAGATTGGATGATTATCAACATGTTGGCGCTATTAAAATTAAGCAAAAGAAGGTGATTTGCCAGACAGAGTCAGACTTATACATTTTAAGTAAAATATGCTGATGATGTCATGTAGTAATCATGACATAGTTTTTTTCCTCTATTTTTTTAAGGAAACAATAACTATTTGAAATGACCACTGGATGAAAGGAAAGATATAAAGACTAGCTTTGTTTTGGGGGCCACACCAGGTGATGCTCAGGGGTAACTCCTGGATCTGCACCGGGGACCATATGGAATGCCAGGGACCAAATCCAGGGTGGCCGCATGCGAGGTAAATGTACTACCCCCCTATACCCCCAAAGCCAGTCTTTGAAAATTATCCTGATAAAAAAAGGCTAAAAGTCTATAAAATTCAATGAAATAATCAAATTACTTGAAAGGAAAATCTAAGAAGAAGAAATCTTTGCCACTTTAGTAAGAGAAATAAGAAAAGTATTTTTGTTTATGAAATGTGTATGTCTTCTACGATTACTGACTGTGAAGGACTATAGGAGCTAAATGTCTATTTGCCTTTAAATGAAGAAATACATGGGAAGAAATGAATATAAAAGTTAAGTCTTGAATTACCTGAATTTTTCGGAGTTTAGTCATATGGTCCTCTAACTTGTGACAATTTTCTGCCAGCTTGGAGGACAGCTTCTTCCATCTGCCCTCGATCTCTTCAAATTCGGACAGATATTTCCGGCTAATATTAGAGGGTGCTTTCTTTGACATCTCTTCCACAGTGGTGCTGAGATAGTTTAGGCTACTCTGTTGATCTTGGAGAGAGCTTTGTAAAGCCTTACAAGTGAAAAAAGTAAAGATATTTATGTTCATCTCTGAATCCTAATGGGTTTCATTGAGCATTTGTCTTGATGAGTTTTAGTTAAATTAAAATTACTTAAAATGAAAATTACATTATTCAGACATCTAGAGGAATAAGTGGCATGTTATCAGCTGTCAAATAGCTAGTGATAAAAATTAAATCACTGATGGTAACTGAAATTCTACTTTATAACAGAGTAATTGGTACATTTAGTTAGTAACATATTGTTTTAAAATGTATGCTGATTTTCATGAACAATGTCAAACATATTCCAAACTAGATTTTAATGAACCACCATTTTAGCAATCCGATTTTATTGCAGAGCTGTGTATTAATAACTGTATTTATAATATAGTTAAAAGGAGTCTAACTTGATTATACAATTTTCTTACCTTCCTATAAAAATGTGATTAAATAATACTGCAAAATTAGATAACTCAAGTATGACTAAATTACAAGAATAATGGTCTACTAATTTCAGTTAACTACCATTTTATATTTTTCCAAAGACATCACTTGTTTTGTGATTTTCATTAAAATTCTAGGGTAAAGTTGAAATGACATATAAAACTGTTCTAATAGTTATAATCCGAAACCTATGACATTCTTTACAAAGGATACCTATCCCAAAGTTTCTGCTCCTCAGAATTTGCTATTTTTTGTTATCAAGGTTCATAATAAACATGAAAATATGTTGCATTGCTATTATAATTTTAGATAAACCTGTTTTTAACTATCTGATAATCAATGTACAAATATATTAATCCTTCTTTATAATATAACCTACAGCATAGCGTAAATAGTTCCAAAGTTTAACTTATGATTACATGATAACTTACTCCTATTTTGTGTTTTATATTTTGAAAAAAATATTAAAATGTTACCTTTGAGTGATTCGTCAGACAATATCCAGCATTCATGTTTTGAACTAGAAATTATATTGGGAGCCTTTTCCCTGTATTGATTATTTTTCAAAACCACGAATTTTAATGACTTTTCAAATGCATTTATCCAATTGCTCAATGAGTTATTAAGAATTATTCTATTGATACTAATTATTTACATAAGATGTAGACATCGTGGAAATAATAGCCATCTGTACAATTAAATGGATTACTGTGGATGGTTTTATGAAGTATTGGTAAGTTTTCCTCTGTACAATTTATATGCAATAGGTATTTGCAGTGGTAATATTGCAGCTCACAGTGGCCAGAACTGAACTTATTTTATCCTTTGAGCTGGGCTGTGTTGTTTGTTTTGTTTGTATAATTTAGTGTGTAAGAAACGGTATATCAGTTTAGGATCAGTAGTTTGCCTTTCCTAACTCAAGTTATGATATTTCCTAGATATAAAGGTGGTTTATGTCTCTTTTGGTGACTGCTTATTATTGGTGGTTTATGTCTCTTTTGGTGACTGCTTATTAATGACTTTTCCCCTTTACTCAGACTAGTGGTTTTCCTTGGCTTCATTTTTTAAAATGTCTCCGGTAGTTTTACAATGTCTGTGATTGTAGTCATTGATTTTTGTATTTCCCCATCATATGGTTTTAAGAAATGCTATTTAAAATTCCTACAAATTTTATGCTTACTTTCTTTAAATTCTTTAATTCTAGGTGGTATTTCGTGTAACATTGGATTTTGGTGTAACATTGGATAGAAAGTTCTAACTGCATCCTTCTATTTGTTAGCCTGTATAATTTCTCAATATACATAAATAATGCCTCTTTCTTTTTTGATGAAATTATACTTTCCATCCAACTTCACATACCTATTCAGTTCTTCCTCCACTCCACTAATTACTGTACCTCTTCAATCTTATATTTTCAACTATATTATTTAATTAAGATGTATTTTTCAAGATAAATTTTATAATCATTCCAAGCCTTGAAAGAAAAAACAGTCTGATGTCATGGTATACCATGTAAATTGGACATTTATAAAAGGTTTCTTTGAAGTAATAATTCTAAAAGTCCACTTAAAGGAGCATTAACTCTCAAAACTTAAATTACAGTGAAACTAAAACTTTAACATTTTATCTTCATCATTGAAATGTAAATATACAAAATCATGTAATAAAATGTGTTTTCATATCTTAAAAATAAAATGTCATTGGATATATAATACACACTTCTCTGAATTAGTGTGAAAATATTCTAAAATATCTTACAAATATTTTGTTTATTTTCCATATTGTTATTTTATATTCCATATCAGGATGCTAAAAATGTAGTTACTAGAACTGAAATGACTAATTAAAATATCACAATAATAGCATTTAAATTATAACTAATTTACAACTATGCTGGTTTTACGACTTGCTGTTTAGAAATATGAGAGAGGTTATAAATCATAAGGCGATGCTGAGAAGCAATACCATTACTTTTACAATAATGTGTCTCAAATGCATATTTAATTAGAAAATAAATTTCATAAATAGACCTTATAATCTTCAAATACAGTATTTTTATCTTATGAAGAAAAGTCATGGATGCATAAGATATTTCATTTTGGGGTTTCTTAATTTTCAACAGGAAAATTGTCATACTTTCCATGACTATTTTAATGCTAACATTTTTAGTTTCTACCAATGTGATTAACTGCAATCTGACTTCTGTTCTGTAAAACTATCAAATAACCACAGACCTGTAATTCCACCAGCCTCTGCTCCATGACTTCATACTCAGTCACAGTAACCTGAGGTATAGAGAGTTTTGTTTCTGATTGCTGGATCCAGGTCACGATGGTGCTCATGGTCTCCTGATAGCGTATGGGTGGCAAAGCATCGGAAACTTTATCGAAGGAAGAGCAGAAAATCAAAGAGAGTTAGAGTTAAACACTTAAACACTTAGAATGTCACTGTTTATTCCCAAGTTTTGTTAAACTCAATCATACTCCAACCAATTTGACAAAATGAAAACACCTAAAAATATAGATGAGAATCTGATTCTAATTCGAAAGATAAATCCCTACTGCATGCATTCAATTTTGACAGAAAATATACATATATTGACTCCCCACCTTAGCCTTGCAGAATTTACATCGCTAAATTCAATTTCAAATAGTAAAGAATGAAAAGACTGAGTAACTTGCCTAAGGTAACACAGGGTTTTTTTGAGAAATCTAAGTAAAGTCAACATTTGATTCTCTTCAGTTCTATATTTGGCTTCAGGGAAAACAGTACCATTATACAAAACCCTGGGTATTTTAAAGTATATCATATCACCTCTCATATAACTAAAAATTCTGTTCTTAGTGTGTTCTAAACTCTAAATATATATGTATATATAACAAACATATAGATACACATTCAAATCTTTATACATTTATAGATATATATAGAATACATACATATTTATTTTCTTTTTTTATTAGTGAAACACCATGAGGTACAGTTATAGACTTATAAATTTTTGAGCTTGGGTTTCAGTTATACAATGATCAAGTACCTATCCCTCCACCAGTGCCCATCCTCCACCACCACGGGTCCCAGCATCGCTCCCACCCTCCATCTCCCCTATCCCCCCCTCTGACTCTGTGGCAGGGCATTCCCCCTTGTTCTCTCTCTTTTCTTTTGGGTACTGTGTTTTGCAAGAGAGGCATTGAGTGGCAATCATTTTTGGTCTATAGTCTACTTTCAGCATTCTTCTCCCATCCTGGGAGGATCCTCACAACACCCTTTATTTTGTGCTCTCTTCTCTATCTGGGCTTCCTTTTCCCTACCACGTGTGGCTGGCCTCCAAGTCATGGAGCAAAATTCCTGGTACTAATTATAGATACATATTTAAATCATAGATACATATTCAAAATCCTATGAAATATGGGTTCTTAATCACAAAAACAGTTGTGAAAACAGGCTCTTTGAATAAGGCCAAATTTGTGCTATAAAGATAGTACAGTGGGTAAGGCACTTGTCTAGCACATGGCTGACCAAGGTTTGATTCACAGTACTCCTTATTCTCCCCTTAGAATGTCAGGAGTGAATCCTGGATGCAGAGCTGCAAGTAACCCCTGAGCATTGAGGTATGGCACCCAACCCAAAATGAAAAAAAAAATTGAAATAAAAAAAAAGAATTTCTACCCGTGACGTATTCAATATGCCAAACACAGTAACAACAAGTCTCACAATGGAGACGTTACTGGGCCCACTCCAGCAAATTGATGAACAATGGGAGAACAGTGCTACAGTGCTACAGTCATACGTCTAATAAGTGACTTTAAACTAGGTTCATTTGGTTTCACAGTCTAAATGACTACCAAAAAATTATATTTATATATAAGCAATATACATAAATACATATGTATTTTATCATATATGTGCATGCATAAAACAGATGAATGCATGATGCACAGATGTATGTCTAGTTAAATATTTTAAATAATATCAACATGTATGTACTATATATTTCATATAAATGATATACTGGTATTATTTATATGTATATACATTTTATGTAACAGAAGTAGCTATACTATCTTCTACTACTATCGTCAAGGAGACTAATGAAAAGATTTAAATTTTGGCAGAGAACAGAGATCATAAAAATGACATAACAAATTTTAATTAGAGAAAAAGAAATTCTAGCACTGACACATGTACTGAGTGGAAAGTAAGGATGCGATGAATGGGTATTCAAGTAAATGAAACAGAACTAAACATAGAACTACTAAACCCAAATAGAGGATAAAATATATTTTTGGAATGCAATATGGGGAGAAAAAAGAATGGACACAAAAATGCATAGCAAAAAAAAAAAGAAAGAAATTGTTTCATATAAATCATCCTGTAGAGAAAACAATGGATTGTAAGTCAGAGGTGAAGAGATAATAGATGAAAATTTTCCTAGATGAAGTCACATTACAAGATATTAAATTTTATTCATTACATCAAATGACATGATTTAAATGATATTAGATTCGCAAGATAGGACATAAGTGTTATGCCTATGCTCTAATTCCTTCAACACTACAAGAGAATATAGAAAATTATTGAGTGTGCCATTTACTGGGACTTTCAGATGTAAAACTCACATTATAGTGTGTGTTAGAAATACATGCTAAAAAAAAGAAATACATGCTGAAATAGTTTTAATATGCTCATATTTGTTTGGGAGCTTATAGGCCCAAGTTTATATTGAGAGTCTTTATTGCATCATAAAGTAAAAGTAAAAGTAAAAAGGCCCTCCCGTTGATCATCGATTTGCTCGAGCGGGCCCAGTAACGTCTCCATTGGAGACTTTGTTGTTACTGTGTTTGGCATATCGAATACGTCACGGGGAGCTTGCCAGGCTCTGCCGTGCGGGCGAGATACTCTCGGCAGCTTGCCGGGCTCTCCGACAGAGGCAAAGGAATCGAACTCGGGCCGGCCATGTTGGCTGCGTGCAAGGCAAACACCCTATCTCTGTGCTATTGCTCCGTGGCTATTGCATCATATCACTTTTAATTTTATTCTAAAAATTTTTGAATGTTAAACTTCAGGATTTTCTTTCAATACATAATGTTTTTCTTTTATCTACTAACTCCATACATCTATTTCCACAATATACAATGATTTAAAAACAAAGGTAAGTAAAGATCTCATAGAGAGTAATGAAGCAAAGAAATAGTTATGTGGAAGGATAGAGTTCTGAGAAGGCATTTATTTCAGGAGTTATTTGCTTAGTAATCTGGAGTGACAGGGATCTGTCTATGAGAACAGCCAAGAGGAAGTTTTGTATGCATTATGAACTAAAAAAAGTTAATTTTAGTTGAATCTGAACATGTACATTCTAGAACAGAGTTCTTATTTTCCTTCTGGCAGATGCTAGACAACATGCATTATAAATTTGATATTAAGTCAATTATATCCAGAAGATATGTAAGAAGGGAGAGGTAAGTATAGAAAGAGTTGGTGAAGGTTCTAGGATTATTTTTTTACTAGAGAAGATCAACAGGTTTTTATGAACCTCTAAAAAGGTAGCATTTCTGGCGCCAGAGAGATAGTACAAAGGGTTGGGTGTTTGCCTTGCTCACCACCGACCCGGGTTTGATCCCCAGCATCCCATATGGTTCCCCCAAGCACTGCCAGGAGTGATTCCTGAGTGCAGAGTTAGGAACAATCCCTGAGCTTCGCCAGGTGCGACCCAAAAAGAAAAAAAAAAGCATTTCCATCTTTTGTAGAAAGGGGCTGTGTACAACGACAACTACAACATTTGATTCTGCAATTCAATAAACCAGCTTAACAAATTTGGTTCTCATCTTGGTAAATTCCAGAAAATTACTTAACATTTTAGCATCCCAGACCTCATTTATAAAAGTAGGGATGTTGATACGATGGGTATAATTGAGGTCATTCTTATTAGTTCTTCATTTCACAAATATTTGTTGAGCACTCTGAGAAAAAGACGCAAGAAATTTAAAAAAATATATAAAAGCCAAGAATTTTCATGATTCTGAAAATCTAATTGGTGAGTCAGAAAAGGAAGAAATACATTTTAATACCTAATAGAAAGATCCGTGGAGAAAATAAAGGCATGGGGAAGAAAGCAAAGAGAGCATGAGAGAGTTCATTAAATAAAAGGAATTTAAGAAAGATAATTAGATATAAAATATTGGAGTAGAAGAGGATCTACACAAAGAAAACTGGTACTGGTTATATTTTCTCTTTTTAAGCTTCCTTTAGGTCCTTCTATTTAATGAAAAGCAAAACTTTCAGTCTTTGAACTCTTGATCTTATTCTATATAAGTGCTTTTGTGCTGTGTTCAAGTGCAGGACCTGCAGTCCTCCCACTGAGAACTAAACCAATTTTTCACACTATTATTCTAAGAGAAGAAAGAACAAAATGTAAAAGATAAGATCAAGAACTACACTGGTATTTTACACATATGGTAGCTAGCACAAGAAAATGCAAACAGTATGTCCTAGAGTACCCCAGTGAGCTTTTGATTCTTTTGCACTTACCTTCTATGCTCAGTTCATGAAAATGCAAAATGCTACCTCACAGAAAAAAAAAAAAGAAAAGCAAACCACACCAATATTGTCTTATTTTTTTCTCCTGGTAGTGTCTGACCTCCTCACTATAGCTCCTCCATTCTCTCTGGCCACTTTTCTAGACTCCTTTTACATGATTTCTCCGGTGTTTCCAGGGAAATGGACTTCTGTTACTTGAATCTAGTCATCAACCCTTGTAGCACTGTAGCACTGTCCTCCCATTGTTCATCAGTTTTCTCTAGCGGGCACCAGTAACATCTCCATTGTGAGACTTGTTGTTACTGTTTTGGGCACATCAAATATGCCACGGGGAGCTTGCCAGGCTCTGCTGTGCGGGTGGGAATACTCTTGGTAGCTTGCCGAGCTCTCTGAGAGTAATGGAGGAATCAAACCTTGATCAGCCACGTGCAAAGCAAATGCTCTACTCACTGTGCTATTGCTCCAGCCCAGTATCAGGCTGGGCATCAACTCCTACCCATAGATTTTTAAACTCCTCTTCAACCCTTGGCTTCTGTACCAAGTGGTATGTTCTCTGTTCTCAAGGATCTTTATACTGAAGCCCCAGGCCTGGGGAATTTAAATTTAAGAGTCCCAGTCTTGCATCCCATCCAAGATCTCACTGCCAATGAGTAGTAGTTGTGCCTTCCCCCATACTGCAAGCCTAATAAGAGCAATGAGCAAGTGAGTTCAGCTTAGTGGTTTCACCCTGAAGAGCATATGTCATGGAATGAATCTTAGGGGTCAAAGAAAAACCTACAGAGGTTTCAGTGGAATGTGGAATTCAAAGAAAGTTTTTTTTCTTTAGCAGAAATATAGGTGGAA